GCACAACGCCATGATCATCGCCGCCTACGCTATCTTTGCCAGCTTCTTCACTGGCAACGGCAATCCTGCCGGCATCCCCACCGCTTTCTCCGTCCTCAACCTCGTACGTGCCCCAAAGGCCTGCACCACTCCTGCACTGTGCTTCGCTCGCATCGCCGCTGCCCGCACTGCTGCTGCTCCGCCCTGTCGTTGTGCACGTGGAGGTGCATGCGATGACTTCTTCACCATTTTGACCATCATATCCTTTCACTTCAAACGAGATCTCACTCACGTCTCGCATCACACTTCATGCGCGCCTACCTCCTCCTGCTACAGCTCCGCGATCAGCTTTCCCCCCAGGCCTTCTCTGGCGGTCTGCTGGCCATTTCTGGCATGGTTCTCAGCCTTGTCAGCGCCTCTGCCCGCATGAACATCACTGACAGCGGCAAGATTATCAAGCTTGCTGCCACCGCCGTCTCCCTTGTCACTGGCTTCATCGGCGTCATCATCTTCTGGGCCCACGACGACCTGAGTGCGTCCACTGTGTGTGTGTGTGCGCGCGCGCGCGTGTGTGTGTGTGTGTGTGTGTGTGCTCTGCTTGTGCTCTGCTTGTGCCTGCTTAGTGTGAGTGCCTGCCTCCTCACTGACACATCCTGCCCTCGTTGACTTCGTGCCTTCCTGCAGAGGACCCCACGAACACCGGCACCTACACGTACACTGGCGCCGTCCTTGTTGGCATGTTCGCTGCCGTCATCACCACCCTCGGCTCCCACAAGGGCGTTGCCGGCTTCCTCCTTGCCTACCTCGGCTTCTTCTCCATCTTCGCCCTCTCCAGCGGTCTGACCATCTCCGGCTCTGTGACCGGCAGTGCCCGCGACGCCGCCCGCGCAGGCATGGTTCTCTGCACCGTCAGCGCCCTCACTGCCATCGTCCCGGGCTTCATCGTCTACCAGGAGGAGACGTCCGAGTAAACGCTCGTGTGTGTGTGTGTGTGTGTGCGTGTGTGTGTGTGCGTGCGGGGGTGGCACGTCTTGTGCCGCTGCTGCTGCTGCATGCACGTCATAGTACACGCTTTCGTGCCCAACACCAAACTTAGCAACAGCCTATTGGCCGAGGGTGCACAGCCCCGCCAGCCGTTGTCTCTTTGTTGCTGTTGTGTGTTGTTGTTCCCACTTGTGCTTCACATGCACCCGCAACCCCAGTGTCGTGTACATTTGTGACACCCCGCGTGTAGAATTTCCTTTGTGTTGTTGCTTTGTGCCGTGACATGTCACACCCCCAATTCAACCGCACAGTATCATCCTATGAAGGCAACGTCATGCTATATCGTTGAACGTTCAACGTTCATGTACAAACCACGAGTAAGGTGGAGAGGGCAAGGTATGTACAAGAGGCGCGGGGCACTACAAACGCGCGAGCGCTGACTAGTCTCCTTTGGGATGGATGTGGGACGAAGGGGTGGAGCGGCCACAGGCACGGCAGCAGCAGACCCGCGGTAACAGCACGCAAGCGGTGATGATCACCGCCAATATGACCTCGACGAGCGACAGCGGTGTTGCAGTAAGCCAGCCCTGCGTTGGTGAAAAGGTGACAAGTGTGAGGCGCTTCAAACGTGCGCACGATTGAAGCAAGGGCGTGTATGGTGGGAGTAGTTGTTTTGCCACCATTCACACACAAACACAACACACACACACAAACACACACACACACACACACACACACACACACACACACACACACCTGGGCGAGGTACCAGGCTGCGGTGTTCTCGACAGCGGCAGCGCACGTGTAAATTGGGCGGTATCCAAGATGGTGCTGGGCGCTGGCAGCGCTGTATGTCCTGTTCTCCAGCATGCGGTCAATCATCTCAGCCTTGAACAGAAACGGTGCGCGCACAAACGCATTCATCACTGGATCGAGCGCTTCCATGAGCGTGCGGACGAGTGGCGGTGGCAGCGGCAAGAGGGGCGGTTGCCGCCCAAACTGCCGTGCAATATGGGATATCCAGCCGTGGACGGTGAGCGCATCGCCCGGCGCGATGATGAACGTGCGATTCATGGCGCGCGTGCTCGCGAGTGCGGACGTGGCAGTGCTCCCCATTGGCAAGGCAACTGTTGGGCGGTGCGGAGTTGCGTCGATTGTGACAGCCGTGCCACCACCGCGACGACTGCTCGCGTCTGTGTTGTGGGTGGAGAGGTGCATGGTGTCGGGCACGCTGCAGTGGTGCTCGGCGGCAGCAGCGAGCATGGCCAGGCGCACGCCCTGCACCGCGTCGTCGACGTGTGTGTACATGAGCGCCGCATCGCCTGCGCCCACGGTGAACGGCAGCAGGCCGAGGTGGACGGCAAGCATGAGCTGATACAGCGAGAAGTCGTCCCCAGGGCCCATCACGCCCGTCAGCCGCAGGATGGCATGGGAGATGGCACGGTCTTTGGTTTCGGCGCGAACAACCGCCTCCGCAGCGAGCTTCGTCGCCCCATATGCGCACCAGGGTCGTGCCGGCGCCGCTTCGTCGCAGTCTGTGCATGCGCCCATGGCCTCCGTCGAGCTGATGTACAGCAGCGCACTCTTGCCCGGCCGCATGAGACGGGTGACGGTCCGCGTGCCGTTGACATTGACCCGCTGCATGTAGTCCGTGTCAGCTGCGGTGGCTGGGAAGAAGGACATCACACCTGCGCCGTGCACCACAATATCAGCAGCACGCAGGGCCCTGGCCGCCTCTGGGAACTCGCTCGCCGCCTCATCCCCATCCACAGCAAGATCCAACTGTGTGTGTGTGTGTGTGTGTGTGTGTGTGTGTGTGTGTGTGTGTGTGTGTGTGTGTGTGTGTGTGTGTGTGTGTGTGTGTGTGTGTGTGTGTGCGTGTGTATGTTGTGTGTCGTGTGTTGTGTGTGTGTATGTGTGTGTGTTGTGCATGTGTGTGTATGTGTGCGTGTCACTTTAGACATGCAAAGGTGCAGTGTGATGTGACACAAGACGAAAAAGACATACAGGATGATGGTGCTTCGACAACGGCGGACTGGAACGGCCGAGCGTGGTTACATGCCTACACAAGCAGTGCAAGCAAGGCAAGGGCGAGTAACAATGGAAGCCGGGTGAGGAGCGAGATGTCAGCG